CATTTGTCTTCAGTGATGGTATTGGTGAGGTAAGCACACAATGATAAGATTTTTCTGTCCTTTGATGCCTGATAACCGATCCCTTTGGCACCTCGTGATCACACAGGCTGGTGTGCTTCTTCTATGTGGGCTTTGTTTCTTCTGAGCTAGATGGCTGCTTGTGTAGCTTTTTAAAGGTGTAGAAAGGCCTGTCTTTCTGATGTAATTGTCTCTGTCTATTTAATGAACTATTCAAGAGTGTGTTTATATATGCTAGACATTTTCACAATATTGTTTTTGGGTTGGTGAAACTTTTTTCCCCCTATTACTTAATAATTTTGTTTCTGTTTCTTTCATGGAGAAATGAACTAATGGAGAGAAGTTCTGTAAAGGCCAAATCAACCTGATTTTTATTTTTCAGGTGAAACACTTGCAAAACTCCATAAGTAATTATGGTGGCAGTAGATCATTGCCGGCGCAGACTGGTCCCTTTGCTGATTGAGTGCCATAGAGAAATTATCAATCTCTGGAATGACCCTTCAGAAATAACTTACTTTCAAATTCCAAGGGACATTTGAGCTTCATCTCTTCTGTCTGATTTGGAACTGCTCGCTGTAGCGATATCACCAGTAGCAAATACAACAACTGGAAATGGAAGTTGTTTTCTAGTTTGTTTTTCGTGTTCTCTGGCTCATTACATTTGTGTGGCTCCCAGTTGTTGTCGTTTCTTTTCTATCCTGCTGTGCATCTCAAGGAACTGTTAAATTAATGAACCATGTCTTATTTATGGATTAAAAGTTTGTTTAGTAACTTCTTTCTTAAATATTCTGTATTAGTAAATACAGGGCATTTTGAACTCAAGATTGTGTGTATAGAAGACGATATGTTGTAGATGGCTTGTATGTAGGGCTTTCTCAAATCCCAACCCACCCCCCTCACACACACACACACACACACACACACACACACACACACACACACAACCCCAGAAAACCAAACTCACTGCCAGTCTGCCATTCAGTTCATTCTAACTCATGGCCACCTCTTGTGGTGGCGTTCGGTGCCAGCGAGGCTCTGACTCAAAGCAATCTTAGGTACAACAGGAAGGAACACTGCCCGAGCCCGTACCATATCCACAATTGTTCTTAGATTCAAGCCCATTGCTGCATCCACGGTGTCAATCCATCTTGTTGAGGATCTTCTTCATCTTATACCAAGCATGATGTCCTTCTCCAAAGCCAGGTCTCTCTTGTCCACATGTCCAAAAGCACATGAGACAAAGTTTGCCATCCTTTGCTCTAAGTGAACTCCAATAATAAAAAAAAGCAAACTCACTACCATTGAACCAGTACTGACTTTTAGAGACCCTAGGGGACTGGGTAGAATTGCCTTTGTGAATTTTTAAGATGGTAACTATTAACGGGAGTAGAAAGTCCTGACGTTCTCCTGTAGGCTGACTGGTGGTTTCAAACTTCTGACCTGCAGATTGTAGCCCAACTTGTGACCACTAAGCTACCAGGGAACTAATGAGCTTTATTTTAAATGGTCAATAGTTCAAGATATAGTATGTGGCTCTCTGCTTCACCTTCTGGTTGGTAAGCCACATGAAGCCAAGCTGATGCCAGCTAGATCCCTGGAGAGGCTTCCACTGCCACTGGATCCACAAGACTTTCCAACCACAGGCCTGTGATCTTCCTGCATTCGGCATCATTGCATGTGCTGCAATGAGGAAGTGAGGATTTTGTTACCAGCAAAAAAGAAAGGACAGGTGTGGTGTGTATCTTTTGGACTCTGAGATCCCTGCACATTGAACCTCCTTGAATCTGGTCAGAAAGCTGTAGACTAGAGTGGCAGAGGAGCGGCAGCAGCACCAAGAACCAGAGCAAGACTGATGGGAGCTAAAGGGACTGTGAGACTGAGGCCAGGGACCAGAGAGAGAGAGAGGTGTGCTCTGACTGGAAGAACTGTATCCTGAGAACTTCTGATCTTGACTTATAACCTGTTCACTTTCTAAATAAACAACAACAAAATATATATTATGTGTCTTCTGTTGTAAACAGGGAAAAGATGATTTACCTCTCTATTTCCACCCATTTCTCTTTAAACTCTATGTGGGTTGCTTGAATTTGATGTATATGCTTTTTTTCTTTAAAAATTCTCCTATTACTGAATAAAATTCCTCAGTGGTTTTGATGAAACTATAGAATGAGATTGAAACACCTTCTTTATTGATCCCCCCCCCAAATTCTTCAGTTCTGCTTCTACCTTTTCTATTTTACATGCATCCAACTTACAGAATTATTTGAGATTCCCCAGTATATCATGCCCCTTTGCTTTACATTCTGATTGGAATCTCATTTCCATTCTACACTTTTCTACTGGCTAGATTCTTACTTGCCATCATAACAGACTCTGTTCTTGAACCCTTCCGCAGCAACCATGAGGAAAAACAGCCAGTTCTTCTGTGTTCTTTAAACTTTTGGTCATGCCTTTATTATCCTATGTAACACAAAGGATATACCAATTGCAGTGATGTACATGGTTAATCACTGATTGCTATCAGACTCTTGGACTCTGACACACCTTGGAAGATAAGCCTGGCAGTCTGTGTCTCAAGGTCACTGCTGTGACCACTCAGTGGAGCGATGCTCCCTTGCCCACGTGGGCTCACTGTGAGTTCGCTTTGATTCAATGGCAAGCAGCGAGACCGTTGGCTGCATGATCAGTGGCTCTGACCCCCCAGTGGCTCCCTGGTGAAGGATGATTAGCCTGCCTGCTCTTGTAAAGATTTATAGTCATGGAAAGTTCTGGGAGTTCACCTTGGCTCAATGGCAGGAGGGTCTTCTTTTCATTCATACATGCATACGTACATACATACCACACGCCCAATGAATGTATGGGGGCTTATGAATGTCTGTCCTATTTATTGAGCTAGGAATATTGCTCTTTTTATCTTTGGATTCCATATAGTTCAGGAGGATCCCTAGCATTGAACTGCGTTAGGCTGATAACTGAAAGGCCAGCAGATCTGTAGGAGGAAGATGAGTCTTTTGGCTCCAGTAAAGATTGACAGCCTCGGAAACCCAAAAGGGGGAGTTCCACTGTTTCCTGTAGGGCTGCTATGAGTCAAAATTGAGTTGATGGCAATGAGTTTTATCATTTAGTCCAATAAACTAAATTAGTCCTTAGCCCTGAGGTAGATAATTATTTACAATAGTGGTGTAAAACTCTATCCCCAAAGATTTATTAATAATGCTGTACAGGTGGCAGAGACATACGGTACACTTTGAAGTAGGACTTACTGAAGACGGCAAAATGAAAATTCATCTTTAAATGTTTCCCTAGTACTCAAGCCAAATGGACCAGCAACTCTTTCTAAGACTTTTCGTGACCCGCTGCTGAGTTGGCAGTGATGTGCAGTAAATAGCAGGGGTTGACCCACTTATTGTGTGGAGCTACTCCTAGTTGTTATTGTTAATCAGAATGCTGTAGTCTAAAATTAACAGCGGCTATGAAGGATAGCAATTAAGGCCATTTGTCTTCTAAATGAGCCAATGTGGGTTCCACTGGTAGCTTAAATTTAAAGACAGAGGGCACTCGCACAATTATAAAGGGTAGTGGGGGTCTCTGATGGTATGTCTTGTGAAGCAGTAAGTCATTTTAGGATTGCATAGCAAATTATATTTGGGGAAAAACTATCCCCCTGCTACGTGAAGAAGCATTTCCTTGCAACCACTTTTCTTTCTTTTCTTTTTAAAAATTTTGTGACTACTTCCCACTGATTAGTTTTATATTACAAACATATATAATCTGTCATTAGAGCATTTGTTAAAAAGGGTTTTTTATGTACACTTGAAAGACAGCCCTTTGAATTTGACGTAAATGATGGAGTTTGTACACTTCAAGGTTTGGTCTGAAGCGTAGCCTGCTTCTTAAAAAGATTGCAGACTGGAGGCACCTGGCATCTCTTTCGCTTTCTTTCCCAATGTGAGGGACTGGTCCTCATCATCGCGGATGCTTTTATTCAGAGTCAAGTTGCCCAGTCTAAATGAGAACAAGAATCCCCTGATCACAGAGAAGTATTTATGGGCCTGAAGGTTACTACCCCCGGGCCTGCTGCTTGTCCAGAGAATTTGCTGAGTTTCTTCACAAAGATCCCCATGGAAACTAAACAAATATGCTCTTTGAAAGGAGGCAGGTTATTGGTTTTTCTCATTAAATCCACTGCTAGGTTTTCATTAGTTCTAATCCATTTTCTTTCAAGATAAGACATATAGGCAAGTTCTTGTTTTCATGATTTGGATAAATGAACTGTTTTGTGAGCTTGTGTATGTAGGCTAAGAAATAAAGAATCATTCTAGTTTTGCCATAAAATTACATCTGCACATAAAAGTCAGGGATTGGGGTTGGGTGGGAGAAGGATGATGTAAAAGGGAAAGGTAATCTCCATAAAAATATTTTTTACATAAAGGCGTCATAGTGGACCAAACGGGTAGGTTTCTTGCCTCTGCTTGTTTTCCCTTTGAAGTCATCATTGTGCTCTACAGTAATCTGAGTGATGTACAGAAGAGTCTGTCATCCACCTCAAACTCTTTAGACCCTTCAGCTTTAGAGGTATCATTTGCTCTCATGAGTGGATTTAAATGTGCTCTTTTACAACCAAGAAGAGGGTAAGACTTACGTGTTAATTTATATTTTCGAATTTGCATTGTATAGAGCATCTTCACCCTTTTCATGCCTTCCCACACGTTGTTAAAAACTACATAGGTTCCGAGGACTTTGTGTGTGTCAGGAAAGTTTCCCTTTTCTAATTTTTCATGTTCTTGCTGTCTAATAGAAGATATTGGTAGACATTTCTTTGCATGGGAAAAGTGAAAGAATAGATAAGCAAAAGTAATAGTGTAAAAACTGATAGGAACCATGCTACATATTTCAGTATAACATTCCCTGCTGCAGCATCTTCTCCGTTTTTTTCAGGAAATCTCTTTGGAAAGTAACAATCCCCTTCTCTGTTCTTGTAGGTGGCTGTACTTTTGATGATGGCCCGGGGGCATGTGACTACCACCAGGATCTATATGATGACTTTGAATGGGTGCATGTCAGTGCTCAAGAGCCTCATTATCTGCCTCCTGAGATGCCGCAAGGTGAGAACTATTCACTCACTCCCTATTGGTGAATAGCTTTGCAGTATGTAGTCTGTTCTTAGTTTAGGCGTTCATAATAATTTAATTGTTCTAATCATTAAACAGAGCCTAATTGTGAGTTGGAGTCATCTTGATGGCAGGGGGGAATAAGCTAATATAGCTGGCTGTAATTGATCACATCTAAGAATCTTATATGTTCTTTGCCTCCATTAATGTTCATAATCCTCTATTATTTATGTACCGTGTATAATTGACCTGAATATCAACCGAAGCACCTAATTTTACCACAAAAACTGCATTAAAAGTGTGCTGAAAACTCGGCTTATACTCGAGTATATACAGTATATGTACTGTACTGTACTTCTGTTATCTCTTGTCATTGGAAAAATAGAATATTATTATACTTTTATCTCCGTAGTAAAGAAGCAAGATGTAAACAAACAAACAAAATGTTTCATTTTTTAAAAGCAGGGCAAAGAAAACCCTTTGAAAGCATCTAAAATGTGGAACCAGCTCATTTTATATTCATTGAATTAAATAGTTTGGCCATTCAGACTGAAGGGAAGGCTTCCCATGCCATACTGGAGAGAAAGGTGCTTTATTCTCCCACGGGTTAGGCTTGTCCCTGCTCTGAGGGTAGGCCACCTGCAGCAAAAGTTGTCACGTGGAGACAAGTTTTTCCGAGTGAACCCTAGAAACCCATAAGAGTGAGCAGTGTTCATTTTGAGCCTAGTCATTTGTACTCTGAGTTTTGATGAAATGAAATAATGTATTTCCTTGCTAAATCAACTCACCCTCCCTGTTACTGAACCCATGCTGATTCATAGTGACCCCCCATGGGTTTCGGAGACTGTAACTGTTTCTGCCCAGTCTTTCTGCCTTGTAGCTGCGGCTGGTTCCGAACTGCCTTTGCAGCCCCAGCTGTAACCACCATGTCACCAGAGCTCCGTGTGACTAATAATAAAGAAATATAGTTCTATTCTTCTAATTTGTGGAAAACATATAGGATAACAATATATACATGGCATTTTGTACATCAGACTAACCTAGATATCTCCAATTTTGCCTCTGACTTTGAAACAAACTGAGCTCTGTGCATATATATGCAGCAAAAATGTCCCAAATTGTAAAAATGGTTCACGTACACATGGTTTTTAAAAATGACACTAACGCAACAAACTTTTCCTACTACTAATGTTTAGAAAGCTATATAGCATATAATTACAGTGTGTATAATAGCTTACATATAATATATAGAATTCCAGGGTCGTACAAGTGGGTGGAATGCTGACTGCTTACCCAGATTGTAGGTTTGTGGTGCCCGGAGGCGTCTAGGATGAAAGTCCTGGTGAGCTAGTTTGAAACTGCAGCCCTGGAAAACCATAGTTCTATTCTGACATACCCGGGGCTGCCATGAGTCGGAATAGACTCAAATAATATGTGATTGCCTATTTTTATTGAGTTTAACTTTTATTTTTGGTCTCTTATTATGGTCCATTAAAAATAGCTAATTATTATTGTTCACAGTTCAGAAACCTTCTTAATACCGAATGTGAGAGTAGCTGGAGTAGTGGCTTACTCATCAAGATGCTGGCCCTGAGGTCAGTGGTTTGAATCCACCAGTTACTCTGGAGAGAAAGATGAGGCTATCTCGTGCTGTAAAGATGTAAAGTCTCAATACCCCATGGGCCACATCTACCCTGTTCTGGAGTCAGAATTGACTTGAGGGTGGTGAGGTTGAAAAGCTGGCCCTGATGATTGAACATGTCACATCCGATCATTGAAGGCAGAATCCCCTGAATTTACTAATTAATATGATTTTACAATCCAAGACAGTTAAAATCTTACAAAACAGCAGCAGCAAACTACAAGGGGACAGCATTCACAAAACAAAACCTAAAAGTAGCATTTCCAGGTTGGGGTTTGTAAACAAATGAATGAACCCCAGAAATGTGTACCCTGGGGAACATTCTGATTGGTTTTCCCTGTGCTGTAGTCTTTGATAGTGGGATGAATTCTGTTCTAAATTGTCAGACACTATGGCAGAATAGGTGTGTGCTTATTTCTGAAGCTGGATTGAGCCATATTTTCTTGGTTATATGTGGTTAATATCTTTGCTTCTTTTGTTTGACCCCTATGTTGAAGCTGGCTCATTTAAGTGTGCGCATAGATTTATATTTTTCTTTCAAAGGCACATAACCTTATTTTCCTGGTGCATTTTCATTAAAGAAACTATTGTAATTTTTCACCTCAGTTTTCTGTGTGGTATATTTAGACTGAAATTTTCAGGTAAAATTCAAGGTGGTGGGGTGGGCGATGCACACATTTTGGCTGTTTATCATCAGCGAATAATCAGAAGGATGTTGATTTATGGAAATGTTACCATTGTTAATTACCATGGAAGGGGTTGATGAATAGCTGAAGAGATCCTGCTAGGCTGACCTTGTTGGCTCACCTTTGAGGAACAGCTTTTAATCGGTGGTTCCAGGACAGGATGATATGCACAGAAAATGAAAGTGTTTGAAATTCAGCCGCGTCTTCCAATTAATAGAACATTTAAGTAATTAATCATGCAGAGGAGGGGGAAAAGGTCACGGGCACTTTATTTTTGCTGAATGTAACTTATATGTAGTCAATAGAGGGTAGAAAAGGAACCCCATGTGCATGTTTGTGTACCCTTTTCCCCCCTAAATTAATTACCAATAAAATTACCACTTTTCTCATATCCTTCTGATATTTCTTTAGAATGTTGACTGAGAATTATCTGCTTATAAATTTAGGGGTGGGGTGGGATGGAGGGAGGCATTTAGATTTATCCTATTTAAAATGTATGAATGGGTAGAACCCTTTTGTTTTCCACTAAATAGGGCAGGCATGCTTGCATTCGGTTAACTTAGAATTGAAAAAGACAAAGAGTATTTGGCAACCTTTATACCGAAGGCTAAATCTCTGGTGCAAACCTATTACTGAACTCTCTCTATACTACTTTGTAATTGTTATTAGGTGTTGCTTATTGACTGTTTTGGATGACAAGAATCGAGGTGAATAAATAGATGAGACTAAGAGGAAAGAAGATGGTAGAAGAAATTAATAGAGAAAAGAAGAAAAGTGTTTCTTGTGCTGTAAAAATATCGTGTGCTCTTGATAATTGCCTAAAGTTTCAGCAGCAGCTCATTACTGCCCACACACAACTTTGGTCATTTAGCAACAGTGGTGACAGAAAGATCAGCTAAGTATTGATAAAAGGGGCGTGCAAAAGTAAGGAGACCTTCATCAAATGTGTCCTTTGAAAATATGCAAACACACTCAAGTCAGTCATCAAGTAAATACAAATAAGAGCCACAAGAACCTACTAAGTCTATACTCAGTGAGAAGGTGGGGATTTAAATGATGGAGGTTTTGGAGACTGTGGAGCAGCTGAAACTGCAGTGTGTAAATCTGTCTGTACGCCCACTTTATAGAATTGTTCGGAGGTCTGTCTACCCACCTATTTACCAATTACCTCTCTCAGTTCTTGGATTGAAGCCTACCAGAACTAAGATGATATGTTCATCAAAAGAAATGTACTAGAATGTTTATAGATTAGTATTGCTCTTAGTATCAAATGAAAAAACAACATCCATTAATAATCAGAAGGTAGAATGCATGAAGTATGAATCTATAAATATTGGTAATTGTCAGAAAAAAACAGTGACCAGCACTAACCTGTTTCTTACCCTTCCGTTGGCCTTTTGTATTGGGCACTCGTGTGGTTTACTGTGCCAGGATGATCAATCGAAGAGGAAAGAAATCACAGACCTCATCAAAAAGAGGATTGCAAGATCCCTCTGGATGTTCAAGAGGGACAGGGTAATATACATATGCCTACAAGGAAGACCAGTTAATATGCTTTATGCAAATGTATGCACCAAACATTCATGCTTAAAATGAAGAAAGTGAAGATATTTTACCAACATCTTGTCAGAAATAGAAGAAAGATACTTTGATAATATTTATGGATAATTTCTTGTGACTGGAATGTGAAAGTTGGATACAAAGAGAAATAAATGATCAATGTTGGAAAATAAAACCTTGGTGACAGAAATTGCACTGAAGCTCACATGGTCAAATTTAGCAAAGCTGATGATTTATTCTTTGCAAATAATTTTCAAAAACATAAATTATGACTCCACGTGTAGACCTCACCAAGTGGAGTAAATAGGAATCAAATTGATGACAGCTGTGGAAAGAGACAAGGGAGAAACTGAAAATTATCAGTCAGCATAAGTCCAGGGATCTATTTCTGAACAATCATTTGCTAATATGTAACTTCAAGTTAAGATTGAATTAATTAAAACAAGTTTACAAAGGCAAAATACAACTTCACTTGAATTAACAGACCATCTGAGGTGAATTTAGGGACATTTGACAGACTAAACAGTAATGACTGCAGGCCAGATGAGTTATGGGATGTTATGAAGAACTTCATGTATCTATAAAGCAAAAGGTAAGAGGGTACCTCCCCAAATCGGAAAAAAGCTTTCGAAGAATGCATTTTTCCCTCTAGGCGAGCATCCAGCAAGTTGGTTTGAGTTAGTGAGCCCAGTAGCATTGCCTGCGAAGGTCCTTTTTGGTCACAGGGAATGTTTTCATAAAAGCAGTTCGGTTGAACCTTGTTTTTCGTGATGGCCAATTTAAGAGAACAGTGTGCAGCAGTGAAATTTTGTTTCCTGCGAGAAACATCGGGAAAATGCCGCAGAAAACTTCCCTCTAGAGCTTTCCAAAGTATGTCCAGCTCTGGTTCACAAAGGCCGGGCAAAGTGGTGTGTCTTATGATTACTGCTCTCCTTACCTTGTCACATAGTGTTGGGAATCGCATGTTTGTCCACGTGTAATGCAGAATCCAGGGCGGCATGGGAGCAGTTACACTGGTTTCCATTGTGAGGGAGTGGGGACGACTCTCCTATGCCAGGGACCCAAACCACACCGCAGTTGGGTGACTGTAGATCCCCGAGGGGGCT